TGGAAGAAACACATTGAGTATATTATTCCCAAATTAAGCTCTGCATGCTTTGCCATGAGAACAGTCGTACCACTCATGACAATAGATACTTTAAAGCTAGTTTACTTTGCTTACTTTCACTCTGTATTGTCATATGGATTAATCTTTTGGGGAAATTCAACAGACAGTAATAAAGTTTTTTACATGCAAAAGAAAATAATTAGAATAATGGCCGGTGTCAAAAGCAGGGTATCTTGTAGAAAATTATTTCGTAAATTTAATATACTTCCACTTGCAAGTGAATTTATACTCTGCTTGCTATCATTTGTGGTGGAAAACATGGATAAATTTAAAAGAAATACAGATGTACATAATTTAAATACAAGACGTAAACATGATCTATATGTGCCAAATGCTAAGTTTACTAAATATCAGAAAGGAGTGTACTATACAGGTATCAAGTTGTTTAATAATCTTCCACCAACAATTAAAAGTCTAAATTATGATATAAAGGTATTCAAGCCTGCATTGAAAGATTACCTCTTTACTCACTCCTTCTATTCTGTAGATGATTTCATCTCTGCTGAAAATGTTTAAGCTTTATATCCATAATCTACGTATATGTAAAGCAAGTTTTGTATTTATATTTAAAATTCTGAGGTTTATGTATATTAATTTGTAAAATTATTTTTCATACTTGTATTGCAGAATCTGAAATTTATGTACATTGATATGTGAAATACGTTCTTGTACATGTGTTGAAAGTTCTGAAGTGCATGTATATTGTATGAAATGACATGTTCTACATCCTTTGGTTGAGTCCTAAGAAGGATCTATGGAATGTAAATAAACTCTACACTCTACCTTACGCTCATATCACCTTTCCTCATATCCACAGCCTTCTAAGTAAGGTGTGCTGCTTCAAGGTAAGATTAAAATAAAAGTTTTATCTCTTACACTCCTATGAGAATGATCATCACTTTTGGTTGGTGTGGCCCATTACTTTTAAGAAATATGTAACTTGCAATTGCTGGGTTCAATATTTCATATGATGACATGATCTGAATATCATAAAACTGTTTATCACGATCACATAGGCACGTATAATAACTAAGAAAACACTTTCATACCTGTATTAGAAATGCAGTTCTCCAAATTCACTACCAGGAGTCCCTGATCATCTGCAACTTCCATAATGATAATTTCAAATATGTTATGACTCAAGATGAATTTAAATCTACTGGAAGAAAAAAAAATTGGCATAACTATATGACAATGACAAAACAACATTACTCAAATTTTCTGATATGAACTTAACACCAAGACAATCCTATTTCAACAACAATAGAATTCATGAAATTTCATGGATTCACTTTGCCTTCACTGTTATTAATGTAAATAATTATCCTCTCATTCAATTGTGCCAATTACTAATGGATAATTAATTCTCAGAGCTACTACTTTTGGTTTACGATCCATAAATTTTGTTATAATTATGTAAATATCATTATTCAGTTCTTTCAATTCAAATAAATGACATCCATGAATGTACGATCTGAAGCTTTCACGGCAACTAAGTATAATAAATTCTTCTGGGGCTACCAGCCGTGTAAGGTGGCTTAATGACGAAAACACATACGTTTTGAATACCAATGCCATAGATTAACGACATGGGACTGCCAGCTTTACTCCCCCTCCAAAGGAAGTTGTGCTATGGAGTTCAGTCACCCTTAAAAATCCATTGACCTTGGCCAGGTTTGAACCTGTGAACCTTGGGTCTAGTGCCAAGCATGCTAACCACTAGTCCACCGAGGACAACGGTACAATCTTACATTTATTAAAAAGTAAAAATTACAGGCTGAAAGCACGTATGTGCAAAATCATTCAAAAACAATAATGAATACACTGAGTAGGCTACTTTTAAAGTGAAGAGTTAATTACCAGAGTCTAAACATGATGAATACCATGTCTTTAACAAAGGTGCTTTGCTTCAAGCATGTGTGCAATTACAGCTCTCCAGTTTTTAACAGACAAATTATTAAATTAATTTTACAGCTGTGGCACACAGATCAAAGTCAGAACCCCACTACTGGAAAAGAAGACAAGGCTGTACTGCACTACACTTTGTTGCTGTGGTGTAATTCATAATTTATCTAATAAATTCAGAGCAGTTTGTGAAATAGGTTTACCTTGGGAGCATGTGACATGTGTCAATAAAAACTGCACTGTTAGTTAAATTAACTTAAGTGCAATATTGGTATACTGAAAAACTGCTTAAGAAGACGTTTCATGAGGTCTGAAGGTTTCAGATGATGGTGCATGATTATTTGTAAAATGTTTCCAGATTTCATCCACTATCTAAGTTACAAACAAAATCTGCTTTTGTCTTCAGGCAAAAAGAAAGATGACAAATCCAATCTGTTGGGCATCTGGTTGAAGCCTCAAACCTGCACTGCTACAATACGGAAGTGCCTGGAATAAAAACTGATACCAGTTTATTGTATATAAAGGACTAGAAGGGTGGCATTTAAAAATATTTTCAAGGGGTTAAAGATAGAAAAAAAATTATATCTCCAATATGCGTTTCTTCAACAATAACAAATAATTTACATTTATTAATGGTAAATGATTCTTGGCACACACTTTTAATTATGAATACCCAAAATTCAGAACATTGCACTGTCCTGAAAACTACCTTTACTCCCTGGCTAGGCAAATGTCGAATCAGAGATGAAACCCTTGCTTTAGGATCGAGGATATTATAATATGCTGCTTGGAAAAAGCCATCACCCACCCACTGGTGTAATAGAGCAAATGGTGGAATTGTAACACTGCACTAAAATAAATATATTTGTCCCCTCCACATTATCGTAATTAAAGTCTATAATTTCTGCTTTTACTGACAGTACTCATCCAGTTTTATCTTGCCACTGTAATTAATAGAAAACGTATTAATTCGAGAAAATTAAATTACTTAGATACAGTAAGCAATAACGACCAGCATACTGCAGTCTGTACACCTACCTTAATATTATAAAAGGTAATTCAAAGCATGGCCCCTGATCACAATATAAAACATTAATGTGTAACTTCGATCACTTTCAAAAAAAAATGAATTTCTTTTGCTCTTTTTATCCAATAAAAAATTCTTTTGACGCCATGTTCTGGTTACACTGTTAACAAATTGGAATGCATTGCTCTAAAACTGTAAAATTGTATTCATCAAAGCGCACACACCAAGACTAAATAAAACTCGAAATCTGAACATAACGCCAAATATCACAGATAGGCAGTCAGAAAAGTTAGCTTTAAAAAACACAACACCTTTCTTTTTTCGGCATCACAGATTCACGTTTATTTAGAAAAATTAAGACTACAGAACCACAGAGTAGCAAAATTCAAGGTAGAATAAAATTCAGATCTCTCATCACAGACGACGCCACACGATGGCATGCTTTTATGGTTAGAACTTTAATCTGGTCAGAAGTCCCAATAGAGGCTCAATACCAAGAAAGAATGGCTTACGAACCGTCAGTAGCAAAGTGACTTGGTTTCAGTAAGATTCTATGTTCTTTCAAAGGTTAATTGGAAGATGGCTGTTTTCTATTGACCGTCTATGATAACCTAGGCAAAGCAAGTTTTGTTCCCATTATATTAGAATAGAGTGACCACTGATTTCTTTCCCACGAGATAACACTCTACGCAGAGTGGCATGTAATCCAAAATTTTTTTATGGAAAGATTAGTTTTAAAGTCCAAGAACAGTGCACTAGAATTATCATGTAATACTTTCTGATAATTATTGTAATAAATAAATTTTTAAGAGTTTATTTATTTAAATCTTACTATTGTGTTCACTATACGTTTGATATTTCGTTTTATAAGGAAGACTATCTATTGGCGAATTTAAGTAATTTTGAATGATTTGTGACATTCCTAATAGCGAATGTACGTAGCGTACGTAAACCGAGAGTTGCCTTTACCATGGTAGTTCAATATATCTTTTTATTAGTTCATGTCCTCGCTAATATATGGCGCGGCAGTTCACTTATATTTACATTAGTTCGTATCTTTACCAACAGAGGGCGAAGCAGGTCACATAGCTTTAAACTTTCAATGTTTCTATTCGGGTTACAGGATACCGAAGGATGTGAACGGGTCAGAAAATATCATATCTAAAACTTCTTGACGATGGTGAAGAGTCAATTGAATAAAATTTTTCTTTGATATTATCCATCGTCTAGTAAATATAAAACGTAAAACGACGTTTCGGAGATGGGACTCTATCTCCGTCTTCAGGTTCCTACTCAGTTGGGCCCACTAGATAGAGCTAATCCCTATCTCCAGACAAAGTAAAAAGTGAAAGTCCCAGAATAAAAAGGCATTATCAGAAAATGTTCGCGGGCCCATTAGTTAATACTTTCCCAACAGATGGCGCGGCAATTCACTCATCTTTACTTTAGTTCTTCCCCTCGCTAACACGTGGCGCGGCAGTTGACTTATCATTTCATTAGTTCATGTGTCTGCCAATACAGGGCGACGCAGGCCTCCTCAGCTTTCAGTTATGGTCGTTGTATTCTCCATTCTCTAGGAACAAATCACATTAACTGCGTCAGTGATTTTAAATTTATAAAAGCGCTAAGAATCATAAACTGTTTAACACTCAAATAAATTCTATATTAGTATGGAAACAGAAATAATCTACTTTATAATATTTAAGTACACTATATGACTGTTGGTATACGTGATGTCAATGTTGCCACATTAGTTCTCTCGTCCGGCAAGTTAATGAAAATTTATTTTCAAATTACAAGCTATTTTTTTTTTTTATTTCTTAATTATAAGAGACAATGAAAAGTAGAAGATTGTTGAAGATCCATCCCGTCTCTACTCAGTTAAAATATTAAAACTTGTTATATGGATGGAAGAAGTTTCTAGGGAATTTTCTAAGTACTTATGTGGATTAAAAACTTTGTTTGAGATTACATGCGTGGCCATGTGTGCAGAGTGATTTTCGTAGTTCCTTTGCGCAACTAATATATGTTTGCCGCTTTGTGTTGGTGAAAGTCACATAAGTTAAAATAATAACAATTCTAATTTTCTGTGAAAGTACGTGAAAATGGGGACTAAAAGGAAGTCATTATCAGAGTGTTTTGTGGACTTGATCAATCCTGCACCAGCATCATTTGATCCTGAGGATGATATATATCCGGATACAGTGGCAAAAGTTGTTGAAAATGAAGATGGCTTTAGTGATGAAGAAAAGAGTTTAAACGAACTTAGGAAAAGAAATATAGATTTGATTGAAGAAGGGGATGAAAGGTACAATGGGGCAAAGATATCACGAAAAGCACTTGAAATGCAAGGAGGTGATACTGATGATGAATTGGAATCAAGTAAGGAGGGTAGCTCACAAGCAGACGATTCATACATTAGTGGAGGAGAAGAAGATGAGAATCAGGAAGACTCTCCTGATGAAATAAATAGGAATAAAGTGTTACAACCAGAGAATGATGAAGATACAAACAGTTTTCAACACATTTCATGCAGGAGCATGGAGACAGAAACAGAGAAGGGCATTGCTGTTAGAAATCAGTTAAATGTATGGGACTGCTTACTGGAATGTAGAATTATGTTACAGAAGACTTTGACTGCAGCCAATAAATTACCACAGCATAACATCTTTGAGCAGTTCACTGCACAAGGGGGACCTGAGTTTAAAGCTGAAATACAACAAACTATACACACAGTTACAACTTTACTGGAAAGTTTGATTGCTTTTCGAACAATAAAGTTCAAGTCATATCCTGAAACAGAAACACTTTACAAAAAGGCCAAATATGAAGGTCTTTCAAAGAAAGTGGATAAGATATGTAGTGATACAGACGAAGACAATGGTGACTCAAGTAATGACAAGAATGAAGTACTACATCAACAGAAAAAACATACTACAAAACACCGAACATTGGAACACTATTCTGAACTTATCAGTGATCATCACAAGATGTATCTAGAATATCGCAATGCAAATATTCAGAAGTGGAATGATAAGACACGTGTTTTGGCAGGAAAACTCAGCAGTCGTAACTTTTCAACTTTTGAACAGTCAACACTTAAACAAATTGAGCAGATTCTAAATAATCGTCAAAGACTCATACAGCGTTCCCAGTTGAAGAGGTCATCTTATGGTATCTTGGGACAAGAACTGATTCCACAGCAGCAGCAAGAAAATTCTGAAGAACCCATTGTTTCTACAACTGCAGATAATTTGAAGACAGAGCGGGATCAGTCTAAAGAATATAGTACTGAAATATATGATGATACAGATTTTTATCATCAACTTTTAAGAGAACTGATTGAGAGGAAGTCATCAGATGTTACTGATCCAGTACAGCTTGGACGACAATGGCTAGAACTCCAAAAACTTAGAAGTAAAATGAAACGAAAAATAGATACAAGAGCAACAAAGGGTCGTAAAATTAGATATGCAGTACACTCCAAACTCATCAATTTCATGGCACCTGTATCTCAAAATCTTTATAGTGAAGAAGCAAAAACTGAGTTGTATAACTCACTGTTTGGAAATGGCAGGAGATATTGAGCATGTGTAGGCCTGGGCAATCTTTGGAAGCTAGCAGTTCAGATTATTAAAGTGAAATTGTTTCCACTGATAAGTTTGTAGTCAAATGGAAATGCAAAATTTTAATGATCGTAAGAGGGCTCCAAAAGTCAGGTTACACACTACTTACTAAAATTTTAAAAATCAGTTCTGTTCTGTTTTCAGAGTAACACTGCATTGGTTAAGGAGCTGCCTTGTAATACTGCAATTTTCCTCCATTTGAATTTTACCATTCAGCACAGTTACTGGTTTTAAATTGTGTACAGGGCTGTGGAGTCGGTACTAAAATCTCCGACTCCTTCATAAAAGCTCAATATGTATTAATAAGGGTAAACCTACTAAAATGGTAAATGGCACCATAAGAGATTTCATCACCACCACGTGAATCATCAGCCTACTTTTTAGACGTATAACCTTTATTTAAATATACGTCTAATGGTTATTGTAGAAATCGGTTGATTTGTATACAGTTTGTATTCTTAAGATACTGGAGCCAAAGTTACAAAGCATTATTCCCACACCATGTGGCTCAACGTGTCATTGAATCTCCGTAAGCGTGAGGCCGCCGGCAGCTCACACAGTATAGATAGAAATTGTTATTAAGATTTTGTATCAAGGTCGGAGTTGGTACATTTCTACCGACTCCGACTTCACCTAAAATTGCTTCTGACTCCACAGGCCTGATTTTGTAGTAGCAAGATGAAGCACCAATTTATCATTATCATCCATTGACATCTCTATGAGAATGGGTCTTGTGACAAAGCACTCCTCTTGTATTTATGTCAACT